TATAATAAAGATTAAATAAAATTCTTAAGATAGTGACAAATGCATCCCTTAATCCAAAGCCTTTGAGTTTGAAGGACTGTTTTGGAATAAAACTGCAAAGCCAATTTAGGAACTGCAACGAGCCTTCAGAATAGGCAGTGGAGCTGTAGTGATCAAAACAGTACTTGGGAGTCACCATTATCACTGTGCTCCTGGAGATGGCTTTTAGTTTTCCATGAAGAGTAAATCTCCATTTCAGAATAAAACTCCTCACTCTAAAATGAACCTGAAAATGTCATCATTCAAGGCAGCAAGGCAGCAATTATATACCTGCTTCATATATCCAATACTTCAGCACCTGGTCTAATCTAGATTTCTAATTTCACTGTCAGCTGAGAGAATAAACCAATCTGATGACCAGCTTTTAAGATATTTTCATCAGCAGCCCCACTAGTCATCTCACCCAGAGCAAGGAAGATTCTCTGCTGATAGGGAAACTTTCAGAGCACTAAAAGCACACACATTAGGAGAAGCTTGAACAGCCTCTATTCTGCCCTTTCAAGCTGGACTGGATGTTAATGCAGGTCTCCAGTGTATGGAGGTACTGAAAACAACAGGTGACGTAGTGCCCCCAGAAAAGAGAATGTACCCTCTGCCCACTCTTTGGATCCCAAGACACGGTTCCAGCAGCATAAGTTCCTTCCAAACCCAAAGGGAAGTATGACAGGTCCTCAGCAGACACATAAACAAAGCATACAGGCACAGGATAAGTACAAGTATTCACACAGCATGTCGTACTGCCAGAGGAAACCATGCCCACTTATTTGTATTCTGAAACCCAGAGGCCCAGTATCTTTAAACATTATTTCAATGCAAGGTGTTGGGGTTTTTTTGTTAAAAATGAAACAGCTCTTTGTTTTTTAACAAGATTTGTCCAGTTTGCCTGTTGGCTTTCTTTCCTTTTAACTAAATTAAAGATTCTTGTTCCACAGTTGTAGCACAGCATTCACATTAACTTGTAATGAATGCTTAAAGTGCAGAAAAAAACAACCCCAAAACCAATATTCTTTGCTCTGTTTAGTTCTCAACACACTTCCATAATTTTAATACTAAGCACACTACAGTTGTGCAGGCTATGCTTAAAGGCTGCATAGCAATAAAGAGAACAAATTATGAAATAAACTAAGCATCTGACATAGTAAATAAAGGAAAGAAAAATTGTCTTTATGGTATCAAAATGACAAGTAAAACAACAGTTGAAAGAATCCAAAGGACAGCAAAAAACCTTGGAGGGAAAAAAACATTAGAGCTGACACTAAAACTCACCAATTCAGCAGTCAGAAAAATCAAAAAATTAATAGTATCACCTGAGGATTGATATGGTGGTATTTGGGAAAACCCTGATGAAAATGCTGATGAGGGAGAATGAGTCTCCAACGAAATGACTGAACCTCTAGGTCCTCCTCTAAAAAGGAAGTGGTTCTAGAATGATACCCATAATTAAGACTGAGGCACTCAAAGGACCTCAAAGAGGTCAGAAAAAAAACCATGGTCAGAACTACTCCCTGGGACCCCTTGCAAATGGCAGACATACAGGAAAAATGTAGATGAAAACCAGGGGAGTCAGAGACTGAGCATTTGTTGAGAGTAAGTCTCTCAGAAGCAAGTAGAATATTGCTAGACAAAGTGAAGCTGGGGGCCAGGAGTCTTATTAAACCTAGGACCTGAGCCTATCAATCAACCTCATTCAGTAATCAGCAGGATTGCGTATTGGGCAGGGGGAACAGAGGTTATGGAAAGAGCAGGACCAGCTTCCATACCCATGTGGTCATCTCATGATATATTCACCACTGTTACAAGGCAAGGTATGGACACTTAGACACATCCCAATCTCTGCAGAAGTGGATCCTAGTATGTTAAGACCTCTATTAAAGAAGACCTGAAAACATTAAAAATATTTTCAGTAGGGTGACAAGACAAAATAGAGAAGACAAAGACAAGACAAAAAGGAGATGTAAAGCATAGTGAAGAGTTACAAGATCCCCAAGATATCCTTTTGTCACTATAGGACACAAAACAACACGACGTGAACATGCTGCTGTTCTCAAGGTAGAAGAGGGGAGTTTATTTTCTGATTCCAACATTTATAGATTTCCAAAGGTGACAGTGGATTGGAGGGTGAAAGTGTCACTCTCCAATGACACTGGACAAACCAACAGTCCATCAAATTTCTCCTCCTCCATAAAAGAATGCAAAACAGTAAGTTGTTTACAGAAAGTGTGTGAGAAAGTTTGCTACAAGAATGTAAACATCAGAAGGCTTAGAAAATCTTTAAAAATTAGGGTGACAACCTTTCCTCTTGGGCAAGACTCTTTCATGACACAGTAAACCATGCTAGGGAAATGGGCTGGGAAACCCTATCCTGGAGAACAAACTTGGGCCTTTGAGAGGGGCCCAAAACCTGAAGTGCAGAGACTTCTTGAGTGCCAGGTGAGGACTTTTAAACATACTCTGCCTGAGACAGAAGAAGGATCAAAACACCCCTGAAGCAAAATGAACTGCAGAGGACAGCAATAGCTTTAGGTATTCCGCATGCAGCTCTCAGGCAACAACCAGAGAACACTTAGTAAAAAGAGTGCAAGGGAGACACATGAAAAAAACAAAAGCTTTCACAGTAAAAACATACCTGCAACCATTTGAGGAGAGGAAAAAAAAAAAGAAAGAAAAAACCTCACAAAGTGCTGGGAGAACTTTAGGCTTTATCACCGGGTGCATTATGGCTTACCAATTTACTTACCAGTAGGACCTAGAAAACATCCTTTGAAAGATATGGTTGATAGAGGAGCTCAATTTTCAATAAACATTCCAATGGATGCTGAGAAATTAGACATACATTTTAAAAGAAATAGGACCCACACACCAGAATTTAATGAACAAATTAATGTATGTTATACTGCCAAAGTCTGTTTAGGTTTACCTGGGGAAAGACAATGGACCTCACATACCCTTGCAATCCCAGAGCATGAAGAAAATACTTTAGGACACAATAGCATTAAAGGAGAAGTTTGGCAATTGCCTGATGGGAATATTTCATCATTCAGGCCCACAAAAAGTTTTCTGAAAAGAATGAGAAAATTTATTCAGCATCGATTGGTTTTAAGCATGTACTGACAGGAATGAAAGTGGTATTTGGACTGTTAGCTGTCACTAAAGCAGGTATGTTAATGCCAAAGCTACCATTTCAGGGCTCTACAACTGCTTTTCCAGTCTTCCTGTTCCAGATTACATACAAACTGACAATGGATCATTCTTGACCAAGATGGAATAGCACTGGGACAGAAAGGAGAGTATCAAAGGAATTTTTCATATTATTATGAAATTATTAATCTTATTATCCCCAAGCAAATATGATGGTGGAACATGCTGATGGTTTGTTGAAAAGCTACTTTACACTTCATGCATCTGGATGGGATAAAAGGTTTCCCTCAGTTTTATATGAGATAGATAAATGACACGGACCATGGAATGATCCATACCATAAATACCATAATGGGCACTTCTGCAGTGCTGGCTTTCTGTCAAGGGCAGTCTTTGACAATGAGGATTGGCTGGACAAGGGATGCTCCCACAGCAGCAAGGCTCACAGCTCCTACAGCCTGCCTGGCCTGTGCTTCAGGTCACTTCATCTTGAGGTGTGACCGGAACAGAATGTACAAAAGACAACACTTTTGCCAGAAGTGACATTTTGGAGTCATTGTAGTACCTTTTTTTTTAACCATTTCCCTGAAAACTACCAAAGATCTGACTACAGTGGAGCTCCCACACTCCACTGAGTGAGTGAGTCAGACGTGAGTGAAAAGACTTTAATTTCTCAAGAGTCAGAACCATAGAATAATTAAGGCTGGAAAAGACCTTTAAGATCAAGTCTAACTGTCAACCCAGCACCACCACCAGCTAAACCTTGTTCTCAAGTACCATATCCTTACTTTTTTTGAATATTTCTGGGGATGGTGACTCCACCACTTCCCTATACAGCAAGTTCAATATTTTACAATCTTTCTGTGAAGAAATTTTTCCTAATATCCAGTCTATGCCTCCCATGGTGCAACTTGAGGCCATTTCCTTTTGTCCTGTTACTTCTTACCTGGGAGAAGAGATTGAACCACACCTGGCTACAACTGCCCATTCCCACTTTTACTAACACATCTTTATATATGGAGCTAAAATACAGGATCACAGAGCTTCTCCAAAAATACACTTGAGCTCCAACTAGACAATCTGCTGCCTTGAACAGCTTCTCCTAGTTACACAAGACTCACAAAGCACAGAAAAGCTGAAGTGAGAAGGAAACAGTCACTTCAATAAACTTAGAGGCTTTCCAACCAATTCTGTCAGCAGGTGGAGCAGCAACAGCATTACATACAGAGACATAAAAATTTCCCTATATATGGATGTTTGTGCCTAAATTTGCAAACTGCTGCCACTGCTGTCACAGAACAGAGAAGAGCAAATTCTGAAAGGGCCTCCAGCACTTCTGCTGTAGAATTAGTCACAGCAGCTACCAGCTAACTGGAGCTTCTGTCTGTGTTCCTTCCTCCCCCAGGCTCTAGTTTTGTTACACAGAGTCAGGCAGGTAGTCAGGGATTCTCAGGGACAGCAAGGGGTCCTTTGAGAACACCAGCTCCTTTTCTTCACCTTATTGCAGTGCAGAACAGTGGGAAAATGGTGAAAATATACATTTTTATTTTCCTTTACCAAAAGCATAATGATAGAACCATATGAGCTTAACTTCCAAGGTATACTAAACATCATACACAGCCGCTTGTGCTCTGTAAATGAAGCCAAGAATGTAGTAGGGATGCACAGGTGCATTTCCTAAGCAGAAAGAACTTTGGCAATTACAGTTTCCCAGAGTAAATAGACAATTTAATAACTATTCAAGCATGTTATTCTACTATTTCACTAGTATAACTGAAGACCAAAAGCCACTATGCTACAACAGTGTTTATCTCAGTACTAACCATTATCCTGAAGGACTCCTGTGGAAGCTTTTACTGTCTGTTTTCCTTTTGTAGAGTGGTTAGAAAAGTGTCGTCTGGAAACAGAATTCTCTGGATTCTGGCTTTTTTTGTCTTTCCTTTTGGGAAGCTGAGGTGAGGAACTGTTTTCTCCCCGGTCACTGGTAGATTTAGATTGCCAATCATTTCCCTGAAAAGAAGAGGATGTAATTATCAGTGATTATCAGCAAATTAAAAAGCTTCTTTTTAAAATTTCATTAAGGACTGGTATCAGGTGTGAAGAAGCATAATAATTTACAATTAGTACATTTCAGTGATATCTTAAATCATCCGGAAAAGTATAACTATCCTACTGTATAATCTGACCAATGAAATTTTCAACAGCTTCCAGGAGAAAAATCACATATTTATTATAAGAAAATAATGTTTCATTTAATGAAAAAGAATGGGTAGATGAATCTATGCATGCATACATATTATGTGCAGTTATCTCTCATCCATATGTGTGGATAACCACAAGATATAACACGCAAATATGACTTGTTAATAAATCACTGTTTGTGTAAATGAGACATGGGTATTATTCTAAGTGTCAAAAGAGGCTGGAGAAGAATGACAGCCTTCACAGGGCAGTAACACATTCAATGGAATGTAAACAGAAACTTGTATGTTTTATTGCTTACTTCTTTTTAGTGGCTCCAGAGACTCGTTTTGTTTTGTTTTCTTTTGTAAAGAATGAATGGACATGATCAACTACCACAATTATAATGACAGACTGTGAGTCTGATTCCCTGCTGTCTTGTACTTGTACAGCAAACTGCACTTTTGGAGAACTGGTAAAAACAGATACTTATATTCTTTTTTCGCACTGAAATTAAATCCACAGAGGACTCTTCTTGTAGCAATGTGGGGTTAGGCTCTTCTCCCAGTCAACAAGCAACAGAACAAGAAGAAAAGGCCTCAAGATACACTAGGGTGGTTCAGGTTGGACATAAGGAAAAATTCCTTCACTGAAGCAGTGATGCTTAATCAGGCTACCCAGAGAAGTGGTGGAGCCATCATTCCTGAAAGGGTTTAGGAAACAACTGGATGAGGCACTTGGTGCTATGGTTTACTTGACACAGTGGTGACAGATCAGAGATTGAATTCGATGACCTTGGGGGTCTTTTCCAACCTTAATGGTTCCCTGACTCATTTTGTACACATATAAATAGCTAAACGGGATGCAAAGCAGTGAAGGATCAAGCTCTGTATGTAGTGGTTACCTAGAAGAAAACATACCAGATTGCAAACTGGTGTAGGACCTTTTTCAGACTCAGTGTTCAGAAAACTTTGTGAAAGGTTCTGTGTTTTTCCTTTTAGGTATATAATTTGAATAAATAAATAAATATATAGACAAATAGTCAGGTTTAACCCAGCAGCTGATCTTTGCTATGGAAGCTTTTATCAAAAACAAAGCAGCCCTTATCACAACAATATTTTCTCAGATTTCTTCTGTCTAATTGACACTGCAAATAGCTACAGATTCATCAGGCTTTAATAAGCATGCCACCACATGGCTGTGAATTTTTTTCTCTTCAGATTTAATTAAAACCCAAAGGACAGGGACTTTCCATCTGCCAGAATTTAGCTGAATTAGAAATTTTATACTTACGCTGCCTTTAGACTTTCGAGATCCCACAATTGGAGGAAGTACCGAGGTTTTGGAACTGCAGGAATAAGCCATATATTAGAATTGTGTATCCTGTCACTGGCACAGCCACTATGTATCTATAATCAAGGCAGATAACACCAAGATGGCAACAGAGGTAATTGTTTTTTTCACTTTGTGTTTTCACTAAGCATCACTTGTTCTGTTTACTAGACTATGTTTAAATGCATAATCATTAACTTATTCAACAAGTGCATTCCCCCACAATGCATACTTTATACACCAAAACCTTGCAGAGCTGTATCGAGTGAATTACTATGTGAATTCTCCTTACAACTTCAATTTTTTTCCTTTTATTTCAATAAAATTATTCCAAATCCTCATGTTTTCCAAAGGTACAAAAAGCACACATTTCTCCTTACAGACACCCAGTTTAGGACTCTGTTATGTGATTGTTCTAGCCTACGAAAAATAGACCCAAACATAAAACAATCTTAAGGGAGTATATATTTCACATTACTAACCAAGAGTAGACCTAAACTGCAGTAGCTGCACCTAATCACATTCAGCTGTACACATTTGTATCCCAAGAAAAAAAATAGGATTACTTTGACTTGGATTAATTTTTCTCAGATGCTAATTTTGTGATACATGATCAAGGGAATGCTTATGAGATGAACTGGTCTTCTGAATTTCCATTTCTGCTTTTGTAACTTTTATCTCAGCTTTCTCAGAAGCCGACAGTGAAGTTTTGCACCCGTACTAACCCATGCATCATTCTTGGAATAGTAATTTTGTACTTTACTATTGACACACACAAGCACACAGGAGTGTATCACACATCTTTAGAACTTACCCCTGTGACCTTCTTGATGTAGATTTGGACAGCAGATCACCATACGGCAATTTCTTAAACTTTTCTCTACCCACTGCAACATAAATTTGCCCATTCTCCAAGTCTGACCCATTCTGAACAAGTTTTCCATCTACAGTGTAGAGTCTGAAAAGATATGAAAATGCTAATTATAATAAACCTTAGCATTCAGTTAGGTGCATTAAGAGCACTGAAAGCTATGTTAATCTAAACTCACTAAATATATGTTGAATTTCCAGATATCAAACCCAACTGAGTACAGCAGACACCACACAATGATCAGAAACTACATTTTTAAAAATCTCAACCAACCAACCAACCAACCAACCAACCAACCAACCAAAAAAACCAAATCCAAACATAACCCAGAACAAACAAACCACCAAGAAAAACTAGAAAAATAACTACTTAAATTACAGTTTATATAAAACCAACGAAGTATGAAGTGCTATAATAGATTACATACTCCCCTAATTTCTAGAAAGAAATAAATTACTTTCTATTTCTAAGGTCTTCAACATCTTTTCCCTGTTACTGTGGAAGGAATATATTCCATGAGTTCCTGACCCCTCTCCTACCAAGTTCCACCTTCTATCTGTGTTCAGAAAACTATGCAGTAACCTGGCAAGAACACGGTATTCATGACTGAAAGCCCTATCACAGACCATGCCAATAACATTGCATTTATATTGTTGCATTGTGTAGATTAGAAGGTTGGATGGGAACAATAGGAAATACAATACTACATTAAAACAAGAAGCCATTTATCTTGAGCACATACCAATAATGACTATGTCTGTTACACCAGGTGGATTTTTACCATAATGACTTCTTTTTGAGAAGAAAGGAATGCATCAGGGACTGGTGGATAGAATTTACTTCCTTGTCAAGTTCGTGATTTTAGTTTGGCATGATCAAAACAGTGAGTAAGGAGGAACATTCAATAATAAATTAGCTCTTTCCTACACAGCATGGTTTGAAATTCAACAATATTTATATTTCATTTAAAAGTCAACAATAACAACTTTCATTAAAGTCTTAAATGCAGGAATGTTGAATGGCTATCTTAACTGCCTTTCTAGAAACCTTCTACAGGAGCTATACTATGTATGAATTTATAGTCATAAATTTAAACACACTGCAAGGAGATGTAACATTATATACACAACCATACTATGAACATTTGGGGAAGAATATGAGGAGGCTACGTTGAATACACCCTTGACTTATAATGTGCAAAAAATTCTCAGTTTAATATAGAAAGAGCTTTTAAAATTGATACATGTGGTGGCATAACCTTGAATAATCACAGAAGAAAATCATGCACTTTACTGAATGAGGAATCACAGAATATCTGAGGTTGAACAAGATGTCTGGGGACCACCTAGACCAATCATACCTTGAGAGCAAGAACAACTAGGGTAGGTTGTTCAGGATTGTCTCTAAGTATGTTTTAAACACCTTCAAGGATGGAGACTCCAGTGCCTCTCTGGGCAACATGTTCCCATATATCATGACCATTACTGCAAATTTCTTTTTTCTTCTGTTCAAATAAAATTTCCTTCTTTCATTTCATGCCCATTGCTGCCTCTTGTCCTATCATTGTGCACCACTGAGAAGAGCCTGGCTTTGTCTTCTTCACTCATTCCCACCAGGTATGTACACACATTTAAAAAATCCCCCTGAGCCTTCTCTTCCTCAGGCTGCAGAGTCCCAGCTCTCCTCACACTACAAGTATCTTCAAGCCCTTCCTCTCTATGGCGCTTTGCTGCACTTGTTCCTGCATGTCCATGTCTTTCTTGTATCGCCCTCGTGAAAGTACCCTAATTTTATGTGTGTCTCCTGCCACATGGGAACACGTTTCTAAGTGCAAAGACTAAACATTTTTAAAGGTGAAATTGCAGCTATTTTAAATCTAGATCACATTGCTGCTTCTTTGAGAAGAGGTATGCTTAACTCTGGAGCACCTCATTTGTATTACTCATATTTATTTCATAGTGCAAACATTCCACAGGCATGCCAGCAATTCAAAGAGCAATTTATGTTTCACTACCACAGAGTCAACACCAGTTACACACAAACAATGAAAATAAAACAAGCTATCAGAAAATCAGCAGGAAGCCTATTTCTGAATTAATCTTACTGTGTTCTGCTAGATTGCATTTCACTTTGGGAACTCGGGGGGAAAAACCAGCAAATCAGTGTACCACAGCTTAAGAATTGTTTATATATTTGTATGGGGCTGCAGATACAGGGGGCTACATACAAAATAACTGGGGTATTTTTGTTCCTGATATTTCATTTTGCTTGTGCTTTAATGTTATATTTAAAGTGCAGAAGTTGCTTATTTAATATAACTCAAAAAAATGTTACAGATTACCTGGCAATCTTTAATTGTATTTTTCACTCTGAAAATAGTAATCACAATAGCAAAATCTAACATAATCAGTCTCTGAAGATGAAAGTGAAATCAAAACCGCATTTTTTTAAAATGGATCTTCAAACAAATAACTAACTAAATGGACTTAACAAGCACAAGTTTTGTGACGCAAATTTCTGAAGCTACTTTTTTACAATTTCTGAATTTTAAAGCCATAATTTTCACCCACCCACTTTGCCACAACCATTCACAGACCAGCTGGGTTCTCTGGTTTGTATTATATAACAAAAATGTCCTTGTGGTCACTTCTTCTGAGGATGACCGAAGTTTGCCTTGTGAAATATCAGAAGATCTAGACTTCCACTTTCCTTCCTGAATCCAAGCTAAAAAGTGACAGCCAAAGGAAAGCAAGCATACAGGCTGAGCAAGGGAGAGACAGCAAAGACACAATTTCTGGGATAATATCCCCAAATTCCCAGCTGCTGATGCAGCCAGTACCTGCCCATCAGGTTGCTGCACCCCATCCCCATCAACAACCTGGCAAGCAGAAAAGCTGCTTTCCCATTATCTCCGCTCTCATATTTCATGTTTGCATCTCTATTCTGATCAGGGTGATCAATAATTTCTTTTTTAAAAAGCCCCATGTGATACTGTGAGACTTGGTAGCTTTTTAAGTCTTTTAATAACATGGAAAAGAAAAAGCTGCCTTGTACATAATGCAGGTTCTTGTAAACCCACTTAGGCTTCTTTAATGAGAAATTACATCTTCTCAGAGTCAGTGGTCTTATCAAATCTCCCCCAATGCTATCATAGTTTCAATAAACCCCAGCAAGTAATGTGTAACTTACTAGAGAAATATGATCACTTGGATTGGATTTAATATGTATTTCTAATATTTTTAAGAAAGAAAATGAAAACTGAGTTAATAGAAAAACAGCAAGGGGAAAACATTAAATAATTAAAAATGTCATGTACATTATCTTATTTTTGAAGGATTAAAGATGAGCACTGAAGGGAACATCTCAAAAGGAATCTTAGTTATATATTGAATGCTTTAATGTATAACATTCAGTTTCACCAGAGTGACACCAAGTAATGAGAATAAAATTAGAAAGATTTTTAAATTGCTAAACAACCTGAGAGCAGAAAGAATTGGTATCTTGTAAATGTCTTTTCTCGCTTTGTTCACTTCTGAATTACACTAGCGGAGAAACAGACCCTGAAAGCTTCAACACATGCAGGTTTTACCTTACTGCAAGTGAAAGTCATAAGCAGCCAGCTAACAGGAGCAAAGAAATGTGGGGCTGAGAGAAAAACCTTTATGAGAGCTAATATTCAACAGCATTACCTTAATCTTCTCTCACCCTTATCAAACTGGAAAGCAAGCAGAAGAACTAAAAGACCACCTTATCTTCATTGCTTTGAGAAAGATTTTGCAAGCTTAGCCTCAGACATTGCATAGACTGTGAAGAATGATTTTCCACAAAAGGTCCTTTCCCACCTGATGAAGTGATTTCTGTAATGTGCTCTGCATGGGGCAACACTGGAATGTTGGTAATTTGCTTGCACACCTTGAGAGCCCACTTACACTGCAGTGGACATCTCATCTATCATTTTGCTCTAAAACTTCTAACAACTACCAAATGCCATTTTAGGTAACTTATTTTACATTGTAGAAGCCTTGAGGGACTGAAACCTATCTATCCAAGAGGTTACCTCCTATTCCTCAAATACCTCAACAACTCAGACCAGCTGAGATACTGGAACTGGCAAACCCCAATAACAACTTTGGCCTTGGCTTTTATTAATTGGCTGAGGGCTGAATTTGAAGCACATCCTAGTCTTTCCCCAGGTATATAAACCCCAAAGAATCTATAATATTCTCCTTGAAATTGTTTGCCCCAATGAATTTAAAGAACTATCAAAATTAAAAAGTAACACACATCACATGTATCTCACATTCCAAACATCTTCACCAACTTTACCATGCTCATTTCTTTCATTATGACATGTAACTTATTTGTTAGTACTAAATGTATTGCATTATTATTGTATTATTACAGGCCGGCTAATTAAATAATTAATAAATATTAATTTTAAAATAACAGTTTAAGCAAATTGCAGTTATTCTTTTTTTAAATAGCGGTAGAAATGAAATGTGAAGGTTACTTAGAGTCAACATATTTCCACTTTGTGGCCTTTTGATATGTTTTAATTTTCTTACCATGAAACTTTCCATAAAATAGGAATGATCCGTTATATCTACCTATGGAGCTTTAGAAACATATCTAGGCATATAAAATGTATCATGCAAATATTCAGCTTCCTTATACCTGTGAACAGCTCCACTTCTGAGGGTAACTTTTCCTGTCACCATTTCAAGAATATGATCCCAGTGATTCAGTGTTTTCCTGGGAATGAGGAGGCGCACTGCAGGGCTAATAAGGTCTCCATTAGCAAGCAGGCTGAAATAAAGCAAAGTAAAATAACTTGGAGGAGCATTTTAAGCAAAGCGCACCTGAAGTGAACACAATACCACCACCACCCCTAAAATGGCAACCCACTAAGTGAAAATTCTACTTACAAAATAGTGTAGGGCTCCTGGAGTGCCTTTCGAAACCGTGCTGACACGGTGATCCTACTGTGAGTAACTGGCTTGACCTGCAAGAACAAAAGAAGAATTAGAAGTTACACAGTCCTCATAGTCAGAAAAAGTTTACCCTGACCACCACCAGCAACTGGGACAGCAGGTCTTTAAAGCATGCATTTTATTCCATGCCAGCTTCACCTTCTACACAGCACACATAATTACTGCTGCAGGTTTATGTGTGTGATGAATAACAACCACAGCGCAGCATACCACAGTGCAACATGGCACAACACGAGGTTTGCACTGAGGAGACAGAATTGCATGGACATCTTTGGCTGTTCTACAGACCCAAAGAAAAATGCCCAAATGCTGTTCATGCTATCTTAGTCTTTATTGCTTATAACCACAGTGCAGGCAATTTAACTATCTTCTCTTTTTAACAATAAATGACGTTGCTAGATCCCTCTGCTATTGTAATAACTACTTTCAGTCTTGTACAGGCCTTTGTACAAATCCATCAGTAATTTATAAAGGTTCCTGAATACTTTGCTCATTTCAGAGCAATGACTCAAAAGTGAGGTGAACTGGAAATTTTTAGCCTTCAGAATAATACATAGGGTACTTAATTCCCAGAATTATTCCCTCTACTCTTTTGAATGGACACTGCACTGAGATCAACATTAATGCTGTTATTCTGAACAGAAAGTTTAAAAAAAAAGATAAACACAAACTCCAAAATCATTAGGAATATTTCTTTTTAATTTTTCATCATTAGCAAATCAAAATAAGGTGTTAAACCCAAACAAACAAACAAATATTCAAAAGTTACAGTACCTGCATTTACAAGTCCACTACATTTCTAAAAAAATACCATAGAAGCTTAAAGGATTAAATAGCTGGTGTGCAGAGAGACATGCTTTCAAATAGATATACAAAGTTTATTTAAACTGGCAATTTTCCAGTCACCGTGTAAAGCAGTCTAATGACATGGTATGTTGCAGTTTTATCACACTCTGTGCTAACTTAACCAGTCTTTCTCATTTAATTTGTAGGAAATGGTCTGAACTTCAGTGCTTTCAGTCTTTGCTTGGATTTTCACACAAACTCATTTAGTAATGACTAGAATATTTTCCATTTGTTTCTTGGGCATACATTGAAAAGAAAGGTGCTTAATCTAGTAGATAGTCCCAGTGGGTGAAAAATTATTATTAAAATAATCAAATCTGACTTCCCATATGGGTCAAAGCATATCACACAGTAAATTCTGCACCAAGCACATAAATTCTGGAGGTGAGATAGCAAACTTAGGAGAAAAGGAACCAACAAAACAAAAGCAACAATGGCACTCCTTAGTGTACAATCATTTCAAGTAAAATATAACAGGAAAATCTGTTTAACAAAATCCATTTTCAATGTTTGCTGAAAAAGAAACATATTTATTCTGAATTCAACTCACTTCAACTTTTTGAGTTTTTCAAATGCCCTTGTGAGCTGTGTAGCCCTCTCAAACATTTGTGTTTTGAGAGACTCAGAGGACATAAAGCCCACAGTGGTTATGGATAGAGAAAGACAGAATCAGGCTTTGCACAGCTCCATAGACTAAAAGGACTAAAGAGAAGCAATCAGCCCCAGAAGGGCATGGTGATTTGAAGGTCAGTGCAAAGGGATATTTTGGCCAGAGACATCTATAAAAGGAGAGACAGCAAGGAAGATGTTACTACTGCATTGTGCCAGCATTGCTTGCAGACCAGACTAGGCAGCAGACTCCTGGCATGGCTGGGAACCTTCCTTTAATGCAAACAATTCACAAGCCATTTGCATTTACTCCTTAAGATCTGTTTTGTATATGCATGTTTGTTTTGGCCTCATACAAAGAGAAATTTTGTACAAGACTGTACATAAACTATGCATTAATGCCTAAGGTAATTGTAGTTCACAGTCTTGCTGTCAATTCCAGTGTGATCTGAATCAGGTGAAAGATTCACAACTACTACTAAAGGCTTGGAAAGAGGGTAAGAGGTTGTTGTCTTACAGCTCACTAGGGGAGGCAAAGACATTTTTTGAGAACTGCCAAATAACTTAGGAGCTCAGCCATTCTTGCAGAAACATTTGAAGCATATTCTTCAGAGCATAACTGGTCATTTATGTCAACAAAATTTGAAATGAAAATTTAATGGAAAAAAAAGAAAATAAACTTTAAACTGCAACATCTGAAAACATTTCTATTGCTGCTGTCAGCCATTAAAGAGTTATTTTTTCAGTGTAAGCAGTCTAATAAAGAGCTTCAGAATACGGGGGGGAAAAAGTAACTGTCTAAAGGTTATGCTACTGGAGGCTAAGACAATACTGATTTACTTCCATAGCATCAGGTCTTAATGTTTAGGCTCCAAACACAAAATGGGAGTTACTGAACCTTGTATGCCCTTACACCTTTCTTTGTAGCTGGTAGGTTGCCAGGATAATCCCCTATAAAATGTCTAATACATAAATAGTAAAATTAAAAATCACTTTTTCTAAAATTTGATTTCACATCCATTCCTGATGCTCACTTATGTTGCTCAAGCTCTCCCAGAGTCTCTCCAAAGAGTCCATCAAATTAAATTCTCAGATGCAGTCTGCAACATTCAGGTTCCAATGCTTCACACTTCACTGGAACAGTTGTGAATCTTTCACCTTAGCATTCACTAAGCATAAAGAAGCCCTTTAGGATAGCCTTAGTGTGTCTTATTACTTGGTTGCTCCTGCAGGCTTATGAAACCATTAATTTTGGTGTAGGCTCCTCAGAAGACCATCAAATGACTGTGTGTAGCCCAGTCACCAGATCCTGGAGAAAACAATAATCCGACAGATGTTAAGAGCCCATTTATTATTTGAAGGATTGTATTTCTGCCCTTAACAGATACGGAAGCATCAACTTGGAAGTTTGTCTTTTGGGTTGCTCTCTGAAGATCATTAGTATTTCTGGCAGCCTTCTGCCCCTTACAAGTTTAGGCTTGTTATTAAACAAGCAAACTGCACGGGATTATAACATGGGACCAGCTTGGGCCATGACTAAATATTTGTCTGTTCTACCTAAGCATGTCCTAAACTGGAACAAAATATAAACTTGCATTGTTTATCTAAGTCTGTTTAAATCAATGTATTAAAAAATATGTATTTAAAAATTGAGATAATATGTTAGTGCAATAATACATTTGATAAAGTGAAACTACAAAAATCAGTGCAAGGAAGCAAACTCTGAAGGCATGTTCTATAAAGATCACACTACACTGTGATTAAAAAAGAAAAAAAAAGGTAAGAAAAAAACCACCACTTCCATACTATACGTGTTTCTTTTCATTAATCTGACTGTTCTGTTTTTTAGAGTTTAGAATAACTTCTGCCTGATCAATGTCAAACTATTTATGGTCATGAAAAGCAAGGCACCTAACTTCAAAATACAAGAGCATACATAAACAAAAGACCAAGTGCTCAGCCACAGTAAATCAATTTATTTCTTTTGAGGTATATGGAGTTCCATGAAACCATCCCAGTGGAAGACCTGGTTCAGGGGTTAATCAAAGAATACATAGTTCTGCTCCCATTATGTTTGTAGGAGGCACCACATTGTTGCAGTGTCTGGAATATCCTGACCCCTCTGGCACTGTAGAGTTACATATTAACAACCAAGTGGTCTTGGGTGAAAGTTTGTGCTTACATTAAGAGACTGGCATCACTAGCCCCCTAACCCCTTTATTTTCTTTTCATTTCACCAGCCACATTCTCTGATGATGTACATCAGCACTTTGCCATTTACGTCAGCAACTGCAAGCAGATTTACATAAAACATGGTCTGACCCCATTATGATTTTATCTTTAAATTTTGTACATTTTCAGTTTGTTTGAAAAGACCCATTTGAGGGCAGCTTCCATTTCCTACTGACAAGCATTGCCAACAATTCATAATTTGTGATGAGATACTTATCTGAGGTATTACACGACAACACACAGAAGCAGCACAAAGTGTCCAAGGGAGGAAGGAGGAACTCAGAGAAAACTTCATGTAAGCTGGAAGCAATCAATCCAATGACAATTTGCAAGGCAACAGGAGTTACACAGTTGGAAATACACCATGGGATCACAGATACTCAAAACCACTATAATTTTTTTTTTTTCTGTTCTTTAACTGAAAGGTATTTCACACAGAGCCTCTTACAGCAGAATGGATTTCCTTTACTTAAGAGAGGGGTTATCATCTGTGAAATTACTTTGCAAAGCACCTTGCAAATTCTGGGAAAAACAAAACAGCTAAACTCAGCACAGGTTAGGTTCTGGGAATGGGAATCACTCTGCAGTGTTTGAGAACTCTGTAAACACTTAAATCTCAGAACACTTTTTACAGAGTCTCTTGGGAGTCCAGCTTTCATCTTCGGTCATAACACACTGAGGTTGAACTTGTGATTAGCTCTGAGTGTCTCCTAACAGCCTTTTGTAAATACAAACACACAGCACATCAGTATCCAAGTGAAGAAAGGTAATAAAATCCATGCCCACACAGCTGTTTGTTTTAAACAACATCCTAAATATTTTTCACTTACATGCTAAACATAGCTATATTCTAAATATTTTCAAAATTTAACAAACACAAATACAACACTTAAGAAACACATACAACACATTGCTCAATCTAGTTTAGGTACTTACATCTTCCAGTATTGACTGTTGGAAAAAAACCCAAAAACAAAGTTAAATGATGAGCAGCAAAACCATTACCTGAGGCATAGTGTCATATTTTTGTAGGAAAACCATTTTGAATTAGTCTGTGCATATCCACATGTATAGTTGAATATCATATGTGTGTATGCATAAATATATACACACTTTAATACAATTTTAATTTTAAAAATTCTGTTAAATTTGTGTTCAGCTGACTACTTGAAAACAAATTACAACAGTAAGTTTTCTAAAGCCATTACAGCACAGGAAGGATCTGTTTCTTAGAAACATTACTTTTTTTTTTTAATAGGTGTTTTTATACACAATGACAAAAGACGCAGAGTCAAACTCATTAAATAACTAAAAACATGTCACTCCGTTTTAGAACACAATGAATGGGTTTGCTTATGGCATCTTTCTAACTCAAAGCAGTGTTACATTGGGAAAAGAATATCACACATATGGCATTAAATGGAAATCATCATTGACAATGACTATTCATGTAAGGACTCTGAGCAAGGCACACATTGGTTTGAAGTAGACAGATAAAAATTAATGGTTTTCACTTATTTCTTTAGACACATGCTAACCAGTAAAAGATAATAAACATAATATCTAATATGGACATGTATCAAAATTAAGTTTATTTGTTTTGGTTGATGTGAATCTATTTGCTGGTCCCCATGCGTAGAGTTTTTGTTTCTATGAATGCTGCACTATACTTCTCAACACTTATTTTAAAAATATCGACTGGAAAGTGGGACAGACTCTGAAAACTACCCAATCTCTTCTTGGCTACTTGGGAGTTGCAAAAGGCACACAACACTTCACAGAGTCAACACTTGTATATAAGAAAAATATACAGTTAATGAATTAGCATTTTGACTGGTCTCTGAACAGGCCAGTCTACATATTCAGTTTCTAAAATGCACTTGAGGATAGGTTCAAATAGAAATGTGCCATTCTCATATTTTCCTTTCAGTGGTCATTAAATAATTAGACATATGCTAAATACAGGGATCTGGCAGCACTTTCACAGTGCTGCCATGAATACACACACAAGTTACTCATAGCTAAGAAATGGTATCATTAACTGATTTATTTCCTTACCAGAAATGTCCCCCCATCAAAGGGGGCAATTAAACAGCTGCATGATTTACAGGATAACATGTATTGCAAAGCCACACCGGACAGCAAAAAAGCAAGAGTCAAAAAATGTAACGTGTCTGAACAGATGCTCTGTGCTGCTTTGATTTGTGCAGGCTTAAAAGTTGGCCTTTCTCAGTGCTACCAATGTAGTCCTGGATGCTGTGAACATCTCACTCATTACTCACGTCACTTTATAACTAACCTTTCGAAGCTTTAAATATTTCAACACAATGTTACATTCCAAATTTATCAGCTCATGCAATGAGCCATGGCCTTGCCAATTTGTTACAATGAGCTGTTTGTTAATCAATGTGCCCAGGAAAATTGAGAACAAATATTTACATTTCCCTGGGGTAGAACTGGGGTCAAAAGAACCAAAACCCCATTGATACACACCACCACCACCCTGTGATGTGAAAGAAAGGAATGTTCAAGGTTCAGTGATCAAAACCAAACTAGAACAATAAGTTTTCTAAAGCTATTACAACACAGGAAACATGTTATCTATTTCATAGAAACATGACTTTTTTATAATGGACATTTTTTACACATTGACTAAAGTTGCACAGCCAAACTCACTGAGGTGTCTGCCTAGTCAAAACCATTTCAGCTATCCTATGCAGTAACTAACCTGGATAATCCACATTTCCCTGGCTACTTTGTTAGTGGATAGTGCTCTGGATGTACAGATCAGTCTTGAGCCAGAGACTACAAACCTTTCTACTGGTGTGGATACAAAGCAACACTCAAACTGCTATTAACTGAGCAATAGGCCACAAGACCACAGCTGCACACAAACTTCTCAGCATACAGAAAACATGGATGAGTTGTGTGAAAAACGCCAATCACTTGTTTTTGAAATTTTAAAAGTTTAATAGTAATAAAATGGTTATAAAAATGGTAATATAATTAGAATAATAAAATTTGAACATTTGAGATTAGGACAATGTGAGACAATAAAAACAAAGAGATACGGACATCCGGGTACCTTCTTCTGGGCAACACAAGCCCAAAAAAGGACCCTTGTTAACAGAGGATTAACCCCTAAAAACAATCACCTGTTGCATATTCATACATCTCGTGCATGATGTATAAATTCCATTCAAACACAGAATTCTGTCTGATCACTGTCAAGTTCTTCCTCTTAATCCTCATGCCGTCTTCCAGTCAGAGCGAGATGGGAAGCAGTTTTCTGCTGATAAGGGAGCAATAAATTGCCTTTCTCTGAAAGATTTAGGTGTCCTGTGGCTTCTTTGTGGTGCGAGTCCTTTCTTAAACAATTATCTTGCATAGCATAGTTTCTATTTTAACATTATGTTATAACCTAAAACTATATTTAATACACTACTTAAGAAAATTAATATAGCATAACTTTCTAGCATAATACAATATTCATTTTAATATTTGTGAAAAGCCAATCATAAAATACACATTTTTCACAGCTGGAAATGAGCTATTCCACAGCAGACAGTCATGTAGTGACTAAGGGAGCCTTCCAGACTGCAAAGCTCCTACAAAATTCCCAGAATGTTTAAAGCCAACCTGTTCACCTCCAAGGTAAATTGCCCTCCTTTTCAGCCACAGTAAGTGAAATGGAGTTTATATTCTCTGTACATCTCACCTCAACTATTTAAGCACTGGAAAGAAATTTTTTCAGTCTGGATCTGCCATGACTTTGGGACATGGGACTAACAGCCAAATACTCAGCTGGGATAAGTCAAACAATGGCATGGCCTCATTGGCCCAGACACCCAGTCTATGCAATGATCCAACATAGATCACATCTGTGTTCTCTCTGGATCCCAAGAATAGCTCCCATTTCTTCTCTGAGTTGCATGATGCTGTACCCACACTGCTTACAACGCACAATGATCGCATCAATAACCGAGTTTATTCAACCAAAAGAGATCCTGATATTAATTTCTGACACTCACATCATAGTGACAATTCTGGCTGGTCTTGCCTCACATTTTGTGTATTTTCTCCAAATTCCTTAGACTAATTAAACCAAAAGAAAGTCTGGCCTTTATGGCTCATCAGAAGGACCTGAATCTAGGAACAGTCAAACAGCTGAAGTACAAAACACAATGCCCAAAGAATCTTTGTTTTTGCTTTAATCAAAGGTAAAAGTTTTAATGTTTCAAGTAAGTCAATTTAATATACAGAAACAAATAATTAATGACACTAACACATGACTCATTAAAAGCTTCAGTACTGGCACCTCTTCACTCTCTCCTGGCCTCCTCACAGGCCAGGAAGAACAGCTACTCAACTGAACAAGGCAGGTCTTAATCAAGGAAGAGAAGAACTTCCCAGTTTCATCTCAAACTCAATATAGACCATGGCATTCTCCAGCAGCATGAACCAAAGTCTTTCTGCTGCTCAAAAATTCAATAAATCCATTTGTAAGCAAGCTGCTAGTCAAAATACTAGAAACTGCACAGTTCAGGTAATACAGAAGTATATAAAGGCAAGTTTTATGCATCCATAGTTCAAATAAGGAAAAAAAGGGCACAGCTTATCCTCTAACTGGATGTCTGGGCAGTTCTTCTCTAATTCCTCCTGGCATTAGGCTGTGAACACTCAGGAAGGGTATTTGTTTTGTATGCCTTGTGCTAATTATGTTACCAGGATACTAAATACCAAACAATGGCATATCACATTTAACTACTGAAGATGTTGCTCAGGAAATTAAAGATATATATTACATTTTTTTAAACTTCACATTTTAATAGTCTTATTCCTTAAAATACACTTACATCAGAATTACTAATTAATTTAACACAAGAAAATAAAAAAATTCTTGTCCAGTCTGTGATGCCAGCAGAAAAAATCAAATGTGTAAGATATGGAGTAGCAAGAGGGTTTACAGAATTCACAGAATCACTAGGTTGGAAGAGACCTTCAAGATCACCAAGTCCAACTCATGCCCTAACACCTCAACTAAACCATGGCACCAAGTGCCACATCCAGTCTTTTTTTAAACACATCCAGGGATGGTGACTCCACCACCTCCCTGGGCAGACCATTCCTGAACTTTATCACTCTTTCTGTAAAAATCTTTTTCCTAGTATCCAACCTATAAGCTATAGTTTTGCATTCTGGCAAAGGAATATGAAGTGGACCTTTATACACGACTTGTTACCAGCCAAACACTATTTTGTGTTTAGCAATTTTGGGTAGCACAAATAATGTTTGAGGTTTTTTAATCCTTAGGAAAGAATCTGGAAAGAATATCTTATGTAGTTACATTGTTTTGACAACAAAAAGCTGTAATTTGCACAGCCTGGGATAATTTCTAGTATTTATTCAGTCCCTTTTACAAAACTATCTTCTGTACAGACAAAATATCCATAAACCATTTCTAACTGACAGTTAGATGTTAAAGTGAATCAAGAGCCCAATAATTGAAAAATGACAATATTTTTCCTATGATTAAACATGCATGTTGTCAAACATGATAAACAGTAGTCTTGAAATAAAAATAATTATAACTACTGTGATTTTTCATGAGAAGGTACATGGAAAAGAATGACTCACGTCAAGTTAGATACAAGGTATATCCAGCATGAATACACCAAAATAATTTGTGAAACCAAGACAACATCATAGACTTCCAAAATGTAATTTTTACAGGTGAGTGCAATCATACTACTGCTGAGAGATGAGTGGTGACTGTGTCAAGCAACAAAGGATGAGGAAAAACAATTGCTATCTATGATACTAGAATAATTTAAGTTTGAAACATGGAGGAACAGGAAGAAACACAGGATTTGCAAGTCTTCAAAATATGATACTAGAATAATTTAATTTTTAATTTTGAAACATGGAGGAACAGGAAGAAACACAGGATTTGCAAGTCTTCAAAATAATTTTATGGCACCTTAAATGCTTTTGGGGAGAATTTTTGTGGTCAGTTCATATCTACCAAGTCTCAAACATTGTATTTTCTACCTCACACTCCCCTGTCATGGTGCTTGCCTCTTCTGTCAGCACTGGACAACAGGAACCAGGACCTGTCCCAGGACCTCACCAAAACCACAGTGGCCAGCTGACATACACTGAGATTTGCCAACCAAGTACGCCTGGTCCACAAGACCCCCCAGCAGCTGCTGAGTGATGGGCTGTACCTGGAGACCACTGGTAGAAGACATTCTGCCAGTCACATTTTCACTCTGCAGTCACACTTCATCACAGGCACAAACACATTCTGTGAAGCTCCCTAGAAAGCAAAAGCACTTTACTCAGTGTCCTAGCCCATGTATGTGTCTTCCAGAATGTGACCAATGTGCCAACTGATAGGCACTGGACCAGATAAAGAAATTTAAAATTATAAAAAATTCAGATATTCACTCAAATCCTTGTGATTAGTAAGTGTTTTCACTAGGGAGAGATGTTCTGGAGGTGTATACAGATACAGATATGGAGGTCATACATGTAGGATAGCTTTGAGGAATCTTTACTAGTCCTCTGAAGAAACATTCGTAATTCGTATGAATTACGTAAAGAATTGGTAAAAACATTGATTATTCCATTCAACAAATACTCCATTTAAATGTGACCGCACCTAAACCAAATGATAAAACAAGAAGTTGCAATCAAAAGGAATTGTGGAAAAATAAAATAAGTTTATGTAAAACAGTGAAAAAGTGATTTATCACTGGGAAAATGTGATTTAGTTTTGTTAAAGCTGCCCACACAATCACCTTGGCCTAGAACTCCATAAGAAAAAGTGAAGTGCAGACAAAAAATGCAACATTCTTACTACCAAAGATCAACGGAGGGCAAATGTATCAACAGTAGAGTAGCTCTCTGCAGGCCTACTATGGCCTTCTGATCACAGATGCTGTTTCATACAGACAGTAAAACCTTCCTTTTTTCTCTCAGTTGCGAGAGACTGGTTAGTCAATATGAAAATATTTCTGCTTTTCTTGGGTACCTGTAATTCTTTGCTGTTACAGTATCACTGGGCAAAGTTTATTTACTACAGTGACTAGTTTATTTACTACAGTTCAAAGACTAGTTGATCAGAAGAAGTCAAAGAAGAAATGAGGCTCCAGCTGAACATATTTTCATGAAGCAAAGAGAGTTTAAAATAAATAGCTGCCTACAGCATTTGCAAATGCAAAAGCTCAGTTGATTCTTCTTCAGCTTGCCCAGCCCCAATGGTGAGTAAAATTCATTGTTTTGAGTGCAGAGGGAGAGACCATCTAGATCAAACAGTGCCTAGAGAAATATAGATGTTCAGACTTTTCTCATTATAATTGGAAAATAACATTCAGTACCTTTTAAAAACAATTAAGCTTATAATAAACAACTGGCAACTCTGTTGGTCTGTATTTTCTCAAGAGATCAATTGTGAGATTCCTCAAGCACATGATTTAACGTGTATTTGGATTTGCACATCAGCTTTGGTATAAAAGAGATCTCTCTTGAAAAACAAGTGGCTCAGTTGCCAAAAGACGTGATGGATGGAAAGACACCTGAGAAAGTGTTTGTAACAAAACTTTAGCTTGGGTCAGGATGAAATCTTTCTACTATTCTGCCTACTAGTAACACAAATCTTAAAATTTTGAGACATATTATTGCAGCATGATGGCTCTGCCAGAGGATTTAGACCACATCTTGAATATAAATTTTTACTTGCTTAATTCTAGTTTGACACACATGTTCTAGTTATTTGCAAATTTAAAGTAATGGAGATGTTGCCTTGCAAGAAAAACATTAAAGTGCTCCCAAAAGCAGATGTCAAGCATTTGGCAGTTTAACTAACACAAAAGAAAACATACAGCTGCATACAAATACACAGTGTACATCTGCTGCATAAAGTTTTCTTCATTTTGACTCCCTGAACACTAACCAGAATCAGATATTTGTAATTGTTTTAGTGGCGAAAATGCCAAATTACACGTGCTTGATAGAATCAGAATCAATACCCTTGTACTTAAGCGGGATAGGAATAACACTGCCTCTCTTGGTCCTACAACAAACCTAGGGTTTTGATTTCTAAGTGAACATCTAAAAAAAGAAGTAACTTGGGACTTGCTGCCTCATATCATTTTAACAGAAACTAATTTAGGAATTAAAACTTCTGTTACTAGTCCCCTGAAAGTTCACTCCCAGGATTAAATTATTAGGGCATAAAGACAATTGTGTTATTCATAAGCCCAGATAAAAATCTGTGGACTACCAAGATGTTTAATTTCATTTTTATTACTTCTCTCCCCAAATAAATCAATCATGTTAAAGTTAAATTCAGCACAGGGATTTAAGTTCTCCATAGGGAGACAGTGGAGATTGCAAACATAAGTCAAATATTAAGAAGAAAGCTGTGATAATGGAGGGTTTATACTGGATTACTTCAAAGCCCTGAGACATGGCTGAAAGTGTTAAGATAATATACAATGAGCACTTATTCCAGACAAAATAATAAAAGCCTCTTTTATCAAACATGCAACTGTAAGTAAAAAAAACTCACAACTTCTAAAACTGCACACATTTTCTGTTATATCAAAAATCTTCTAAGGATTTGCATCAAAATAATCAGCCTTAAAACCAGCCTTTAAAAAGCAAGGTTGTAGTTGTACTGATAAGTATCCAACTAAGAATAAATCTACAGGGTAGTCGTAGCAGCAGCATATCAAATCTTCAACTTGAATTTGATCTTCCTGTTCAGTGAGTCCATTCAAAAAAATACAGGTGACAAATTATGCTACATTAAAAAATTGTTGTATTACATAGCTTCTGAATAAGAAGTATCTGAATATCACACTAAAGGTTATTAGGGCAATTTTGAGGATGTTGTAGTGTCCTACAGTCTGAAGACACCTGCTATACAAACCACTGAATTGCTGAAAATGCAGCCCAAGAGCACAAGGCAAAAGAAATTGACAAACAAGTGAGCTGATCCTTCTTGTGAGGCAGAAGCTGTAACTCAAATGTTTGCTGGGAGTCACTGCTACCTCCATACACAATAAAACAGCAAAAATAATACAGAGCCACACATCTCACACAAATCCACATGATGCTTTTTGAAGCTTGCAGTTATCTCCTCCAACTACAGCATAAGTACTGCTGAAGAGAAACAACTGAGCTTGGCAAATTATAGACTAGATCTAGTTAAAAGTTTACACTGCCATTTTTAAAACAAAAATATCTCTTCTTCAGAGGAAATACCAAGTTTTGAAGAAAATTTTCTGGTCCAAAACTCCCAAAAGTCTCATTCCCACCTTTATTTTTTTTTTCTGCAAGTACAAATCTCCCTTAGGTTTATGACCAGATTCAAAGAAGACAACAGAAGATCTTTTTTCGTACTGAGTTTTTAACTGGATGTGGCAATTTAGAAAGCTGAGCAGAAGACAGTCAGTATATCAGCTCAGAGCAACCAGAGTAATAATCACTGAAGAAATAAGTACAGAATGGTAGATATTTGTATTATTATAAAATTAAATAAAATAAATGTACAATAAAAAATCTGACTTAAATGCAGGCATGTCACTAACATAAACTGCAGGTTTATTTCTTCAATATTTCAGCCATCCTACCTCATTATTGACTTCAGCAGGTTTTTTCTTTGTTTCTCCAATGTCCAAATAGCTGTGGAAAGAAAGCAGGTTTGATTATTTACATCTAACTTACACAATACCTAATATTCTACACTTTTCTTCACACATGAAGGTTTTAAAACTTGTTATGCTTCAAAATAACAGAAAAAGAAAGTAATTATAAATATTAACTAACACTTAATGTAAATCTTCAGGCTAGCCTTCTGGGTTAATATAAAAGACAGGGGAGAACCAACCATCTACCTTCAAGTCACTGGTGATTAGAACAAACCATCAATAACCCCCTTGTCAGAAAGAAGCTCATATACAGCTGTGAGGTGGATCAATAAATCTCAGCAGAGTATCACCTTACGAGAATTTTCAAAGTCATAATCTTGCCTCTTAGTTTCTCACAGTAAGTCTCTGATAGATTGAAGTTTTGCCTGCACACCCAAGTTTAACTCAGGGCATCAGCTAAAGTTTAAAAGGATTTATACCATTCAGGTTTCAATAGAATGTGGACATATCTGAATATTTAATTTCTCATGGCTGGATGAACCAATAATAGCTTCATAATTATTTTATGGAAAAAATGCATGCCTCAACTGGACAAGCAAACAAAATACATTTCTTTGGACAATATTTTGTTATCCTTGTGATATTCCCTGATCTCACTTCCAGTAGGAAGTTGCTTTACCAGGAGTTTCAGACTAGAAGACCTTATTTGAGAAGTCAGGTTTACCTAAAGTCAAGCACCAGAGCAAGCTCACGAAAAGACCTCAGATCTCACAACATCTGCAGCCCTTCAGTAATGTAATGCTCTGTACTTAATGACTGGGATTAGATTCATTTGCCAGAAGAAACTTTCCTACTTGGCCAAAGTTAAGAATTCATGAGGCTTCAGTGAAGGTGCAAAAGCAGGAAAGAGGGGGAAAAAAGGAAAGAAAAAACATAATCCTTTCTTTGAAGGAATGACAATCATTTATCAAGGGACCACAGAATGGTGACAGGAATTTCAAGGCTTTGTTGTGAGGGGACAGACAGTAAGACACAGCAAAGCTGCCAGGCCATGCTTGAAAGTGCACAATTTTTTAAAGCCTCATGTTTAGTAACCAATAATAACAACTGTTCCAAGCTCTCGGTATAAAAAGGAACCAATTCTCTTTAGACCAAAACCAAGAAGTCTTACAGCCTACAAGACTGAAAAGAAATAAGTGCCACAGGCAAAATGGTTCCAACAGCCTGCTACTGACTGTGGTTTTGTTTTCGAAGCACCTGTGAATTACATCACCAAGAACTAAGAAAAATGACAAAGAAAAGCAAATATATAGTCAAAGGCTTAAAATCATTGTGCTGAAGTCTGGGCATTAATTCATCAAATTTCAAGGACCTGCAAATCTGAAAAGTTCTAAATAAGAGCAAAGGCTTTTTTTTTTTTTAGATGATGACACTCAAAAAAAAGAACTCAGACCAAAAATTTTACAAATTCATTCTCACTTACTGAGAAAGCAGAACTGCTTCCAACCCATGGCTAGCCAAGCCAGCAATGAAACTAAAGCATTGTTTAGAAAGACACAGCTGGAAAGAGGACATCTGCCACTGATGAATGAGCACAGATACAAGTAAATGGGCAAAGGGAGGAGGATGGAGGAGTAGCATGTTGAAAAAAAGCTAAAAATCGAAACCAGCTCCAGCATAGGCAGCCTTCTTTCAGGAAGCTGAGAGCTGGGGAAGAACTCCACAGGGGTGCAGCCTACATGTGCATTCTCACTCACCACTGCAACTCCAATATACCAACACACCTTACCACATATACAATGAAAATGGGTGTGTTAACTTAGGACACCTTTAAATGACAAAACAAGCTGGAAAACTTGTTATATGTTACATTAAAAATTACCAACATTGACTAAAAATTCCTCCATTGAAGAAAATTCCTACCTTTTTCTCCCAAAAATCATAATTTCTAAATACTGATATTTTTATTTTATTTTAAAAATTATTCAACAGTTTATCTAGAATATATGCCCTCAGAACTATCAGCCTCAAAATGTTAAGAGTCAGGGTTTGGCTCATGTGCTAAAGGTGAGCACAGTTTATTCTTGAATTCCCTGTGAGCAAGAAAGAAAGAGATTCACTTCTCAGTGTAAGGCATCTGAGAAGAAGCAAATGCACTGCTTGAAGCTGAACAATGACACTTTCAACTTCTGCTACTCCTTGAATACTTTCCCCATTACACTCCCACAGCTCCCACACATGAGTGCCACGAGCCTCCCTTTCAAAGTTCAGCCCTGCATAGTCCATCATAGCAATTAATATATCCAATAAGAATCACTGGGGGAAAATAACAAGAAATTTTTTTTTTAATATCAAACTGCTTGCTGCCATCAGACCAGATTCAGATCCCTTAAGGCAGATGCTTTGGTCTGTCACACTGTAACTGTTTACCTGTGACACATACAAACATACACATTTTTCTTTAATTCCTTCACTTCCTTCCAGAAAGCTGTTCCTTCCAATTAACCCTTCCTCTCCTCTGACTTTTCTGTACAAAATATCTCCCTAAATACCATTCTATCTACAAACCAGTTAAGAACAACTTCAAGATTAAGCCCTTCAGCTTCTTTTTAATGCTCATAAAAGCACTGTCAACATTTCCAGGACTGTGTAAACAAATACTAATAAGTGAACAACTCCAATTCTGAATACAGAAATGGAAAGGATCTCAAGTCATCCCATTTATCCTCTCTACAGCACAGGACTAGGACATATTATCAAGGGATATATAAAACAGCATGGTTTTAGCTAGTCACTTAGGTTGGGTTTGCTTTCAGTATTATCTTTGTTGGCCTTAAATAATTAGGTACCTTGTTGAATGTTGCAACCATAAAAGTCTGAAAAAGTCTCACCATAAAATTTTGACCATAGTGTAATCTGACCAAAAGAATACTTTTCCCCACGCAGTATAAATCCAGAGTGCCCAATTCTCTAAACAGTGCATGCTAATGCCAAACTATTACTTACTTTCTTGTAGCCTATCAAGACAAAACACATTTAGGGAGGTGTAACAAGATGTGCTGATAACTTAACAATTTTAAGCTATCCACAGAATCAAAGGATTTAATATGAAAAAGAAATGGTAGGTCTCTATTAGCGTTGAGCGCCGCATTTAGCACATAAAAGAGTAAGTACTGCTGGAAAAGGGCTTATATTTAGCCTGTCATACATCTTTCTCTCCGGCTTTCCTCCTGAAGTGCAAGAAGCTTTAATAAATCTTTAGAAGCAGCTAGTGACAGAAATGGTAAGGGTGATGATAGAGATCCTGTTCATTACACAGAAAGTTTTGTCCTGAAACATAATGTGCCACTAATGAGCTCTCCTGAAAAATATAATGTCCTCAACTCTACAGAACCAAGATGAGGAAGACAGTGTAAAGGTGGTAGTTGATGATATGAAATCTCAAACGGCTCTGGAAAGGGGATGTTAATTTTGAGATTCATTTCCATAAATTCAGCTGTAGGAAAAATGCCCACAAAGACAAAGCAAAAGACAGCATGGCCAATTGAGACCATGACACTCACTGACAGAATTAAGAATAGTTACTGATGACATTCAGAGCCACTCGGGAAATACACCTAAAAGCCCTGACCTCCTTCACATTATTCTCCCAGTGACTCACTAGAAAACAGACAAACTGGCAGCTTAATTCTTGGTGTCCAGGTAGGAAAAAGAATGTAAATGGTCATCTTTTAAATAACAGGAGAAATATTAAAAGGCTACATACGTGCCCAAAATGAACAGAAGTGATGGAGACACAGATACCTGGGTAGAATACTTTAGAATTTTAAAAAAATAAACAAGGAAGGAAGTATTGGGTATTGAATTCCCAAGCTCATCAATTTCGTGGCAGGACTGTCAACGCTCCACCTTTTACTGCTTTCACTGCGTTACCCCTGAGCACAAACACGGATACTGGCCCTTCAGCTAAGCACAGACATCACAACAACATGCCATTCCCTCACGTCCTTCGGGTTAAGGGGTTGTTTCTCCTTTTCTACTGTCATGTCAAGGAGTTGTCATTGTGTGACTCATGGCACGAATACCCTTTCTGGGGGTCACTTCTAAAGCTCTTTTCCTTTTGCCCTGGGTCACAACTTCTAAGTTCTCCTTCTGCAATGACTCATAAAAGGGACAGGGTGAGGGGTCGTCTGAAGCACTGCCACAGTGCCAAACCCCAAAGGCTGCTATTAATTTCTGTATAAATCTTACGTTTCAGCCACTCACTTGAGCTTCTTGAAGGCCTCCCTGCCACCAGCCACGTACTGCTCCCCACTCTGGAGCTCGTCCAGCTGTCGGACACGATGCCCACCCCGGGGGGTGTAGATGTTTCGTACCGCTCCAAAGGGCGCCTGCACCCCGCCCGTCACCTCTTTCAGGAACACATCAAAGTTGGACACTTTCTTCTCGTGGATGACAATGCGGCGCCCCGGGAAGAAAGGGTCCCCGTTGCGATACACCAGCACGCTCTTCACGCTGGGCTGCGAGAGCCACGACGCCTTTGTGCCAGGACTAGCCATGCTGGCGGCTCCGTGCGTCCTGCGCAGCCCGCACCTGTTCGCCCGGGAGAGGCTCCTGCCCGGGCGCCCCGCTGGCCCTGACACCGCCCACGCCGGGCACATGGACACACCTCCCGGGGAGCGATCGCGGCCCGCCGGGGCCTGGGCTCGGCCCTGCCTAGGCTGTACACAGCGGCTCCTCCCAGGCAACCAGCGCGGTGCTCCGGGCGCCGGGGGAGCGCCGTGCGGGGAACGCCGACCCAGGCGGGAAAACGCGGCGTGACACAGCCGGGACACGGACTGCCGGGGACCCGCAGCCTCGGGGGCCTTCACCCTCCGGCTCTGCCATGACGGGAAGCCCTGCCAGCCTGCTTTCCTTGGGAAACTTTACCCCGCGTGTGCTCGGCCTGCCCGCCGGGCAGCCAGCCGGGAGCCTGCCAGGAGCCTGCCCGGCCCGGAGCCACCGCGGGAAGGAGGGAGAGGGGCGGCATTCCCAGAGGCGGGCCGCGGGGGCAGAGGGAACGGGATCCGAACGAGGGAGACAGGGAAATCCCCGCTCTTATTACTCCTGCCCGGCCGCCGCCTGTTCCCACAAGGGACGGGCCGGGCTGGCGGCGGAGCTGCGGCAGCGCCGAGGCGGCGCAGCGCCCGCACGGCGCTCTGGCACACCCTGGGGACAAGAAGCCGTAAAACGTGAGAGAAAGTAAAACAGAAGTGCCTTCAACTCAGATGTAATTCCTTTAACAACCTCTTTCCCCCGCCGATAGCCTCAAGTCTGAAAATGCACTAGACCTTCCTACTTGAATTTGTGTAGTGTACGGTAATGATTTTCTTTTCAAATGGGTTTTAACACGCGGGGTGGAAAGAATTTTCTTTCCTTTTATCTTGCTTCCTTTGATGGGAAAATTACCCCCCTGCTGTGAGTTACAAAAGAGCAGTTAACCATTACAAAAACAGCAATTTCAGGGTGAGGGCAGTCAAACATGCTACTGTTATTGGTTAACAACTAAAGTTCCCCACTCGTTCCTGGTCTCCTTCTGATTAATAAAGGAGAGAACCAAGCATTTACCATCCTCGAATTAATACTGTTTAACATTGAACTACTGTAACCTGTAAGGAAATTTCTGTTATTAAAGATACGCTTTTGAGTAAAAACCTAAAATGTTGATGACCCTCACACTGCTCTGCATTCAAGTAATGATATGTCAACTATCTGCTATTTTATACCAGATTCTACCACATTTAGTGATCTTAGGTCTAATTTGTAGTCACACAACATCTTTGACATAGGAGTAAGACACTGAATATTTTGTTGGTGCACCCATTTTGACACTTTTGATACTTCAAAATACTGTTGGTCTTTACCTGTGGCCACACTAGTTGCAATCACTTTATGGATTGCAATAAAATGTCCCTTAAATGGCACCAGAGCACTGCTAGACTTAAAGCAGCCTAATTTTGGTGAACATCAAAAATCTTTGTTTTCCATCTCATTTAAGTACAACCGCTGACCAAAGCTAAGAAAAGGTTGGACACTTCAGTCCATAATAGCAGTGCTTTGAACCATGACAGTTTGCTCCTCCCAGCTTTTCCAAGGTCTGACCTTTTATTTCCACTATTGTTTCACCTTCTAAACCATTTCCTATCACATTCTCAACAGCAAGGAGTTAAGCTGCTGGACCCACTGACATGATTAAGATAAATGCAGAGACACATAATCTCTTTATGGTGGAGCAACATCAGACCTCTCATCTTACATGAGGCTGGTGCATTACATGAAGTCTGTCAGGTCCTGTGTCAGGATCCCCTGAGGTCACACAAGGAGCATAACATACACTAATGCTGGGGGATGTGATGAGAGCAGAGCCATGGCATAATGTAACATCAAAGAGGGTCACTTTTTCTGCACCAAAATGCCATGAGACCTCTGCTATTTCAGAACAAGGAAAGATCTTGCAGCTTGTTGAGGGCCTTGCCAGCTATGCTCACTGACAGCAAAACATGAAGTCAGGAAGACAGAAATGTGCTGAAGAAAAGACCAACAAAATTGACAGAATGGAAAAGGATGAAGTTTCTAGACATAGAATAAAATTCAGCTTATTCTATTGCACACAGTGCTGAGAATCACATTTAATAACTCTGTGCAGCTTATCAGAAAATCAGACTAAGCAATAACAGCTACTTTATTCCCAGCTGTAAGTCTGGAGTAGCCAAACTGTCTGCACTGGCAGTTTAAAGCACATAAATACCAAGTGGTTCAGCTCACATGCACACACTAGAAAAAGTAAAATACCAATGCAGTTGTAAATTTTAAAGCCCATGTTATAGCAAATACATCTCCTTGTTCAATTGCCAGATTCAAAACTCCTTAGAATACCATGATCAAGTATTTTTGCTTTAAAAAATACCTTAGACAATCACAGTTTCAGCCACAGCTTTTGACTACACAGGTCCTATCCAACAGTATTCTTGAGGCAGCCAAGGATTACATAGGGAAAAGGCTTTAGCAAACCTTAGAGGCACAAAAGGAAATGGTTCTCCATGGAAAAAAAAATTCCAGTGGGTTACCTTAAGTAAGGAAAAGGTTGAAAGACACCTTCCATGTGGTCTTGGTATAGAGTAATGAAAGTGAAGTCATCCTTCTTAAGCAAAGAGTTTTCAGAGTGTTGCTGTAGCTACCTTTGATCAAGGGACCTGATCATCCTGATTCACTCGTGTAAGAGCAATACTGTAAACATGAGTGGGGTTTTTAGGCAATTTTTCTATGGGGACTTTTCTGTCTCTCTCTTCTTGTGTAGCACTCATCATCCACTCAATACTTATGTACTGTCTGGTAGCAACTCTAGTTTTTTTTGTTAATTTGCCTTTTTGTTTGTTGTTCTGGTTTTTATTTTCTCAATATGAATAAAATTGCACACTTCTTTTAGGAGAAGAAACAGGTCATAGGTACAGGCACATATTTGTATATAAAAAAAGATTGATCAAATGGACAAGTTATTCACTGAGAACTGTCTGTAGACCAAGATGCCTTTTTACCATAATTTTACCAAAAAGTTCTCTGAGCTTTTCTTCAGCAGAGATTTATGAGGACCTCTCTGATGATACCTGTGTTTTTCCTTGGTGTTTCCTTGGTGTTCCTTTGCACAAAGCCCAGCTGCAATCAGAGCTGTCCCCCACGTCTGTACTGACATTCAGCTGGCAGTGCAACTAGTTGCTCGTGTCATTCAACCTCACAAATAGCTTCTGGTTTGGATGGCAGTTTCATGACTAAGCAAGCCTGTGCTGGAGCTATCCTTTCTTTTTGGCTGAATGAAGAACAGTCATCATGCCTGTCCTTGTCACCTTCAATAAACAGCAGATGAGTTTGGTGCACTATTTATTTGATGAAATTCAGCAAACTGCTCCCGAAGGTCGGCACTGCAGGACAGATACCTGACAGCGGAATCAACAAGCAGCTTGTTGGTATTTAGAGCTATAATAAATAGATGCCAGTTCTAGATCTGCAGTTATCTTTTGTCAGCAGCAGTGTAAAGTCAGACATTGTATGTGTGCTTTATGACTTGTCCTGGCTGCCAGTGCACACCGATGTGCTGCCTTCACTTCTAAGGAAGTTGGGGATTTTGGTTATTTTCTTTTTCCATTTATTTAGCAGTTGGTGACACTTGGTTATTTTCTGCCCTTCCAGACAGTCACAGTGGTGGCTGACAATGCAGTGTAATGAGCTACAATGCCAGTGCTTACTTTGGCCTGTTGGATCAGGCATAGCAGAGTTTGTATCAGTACAGATTCAGGGAGAAGTTACATCATCTTATTTCCTACACTTCTGTTGTCTTAGCAGCCAGAAAAAGAGATGAAAAAAGGAAAACAAACAGATCTACCCAGCAGCTTTTTCTGAAATGTCAGCTGTGTAAGACTTACTGCACATTCATTTAATGTAAATTTCTGGCAGATATCCTTTAGATGCTTCCCTCGTTTTTGCATTCCAACATGCAGAGCCAACATAAGCTGCCATTAATTTCCAGCAATAGTGTGCACTGGTTTCCTGCCTTCCTCAGGTGTATTCTGTGTCTGGTATTTACAAATATTAAGTATCTCTGACATCCAAGAAATTAAATTAGTGTTGCACATACTGCCACCTGCTGAGATTAACCAAAACCAGAGCTAAAATACTCCTTAGAGTAGATTTCAGCTTTTTCAAGTAGGATAGGGACAACATTTGCAGACAGGTGAGGTTACCCTTTAACTGAAAACATCTGATGTCTTCAGTCTACATATACATGCTGTCCATAACCACTGAGGAACTTCATTGAATTACTTGCTTGTGAGGTCGTTCACCTTTATGCAAGGTGTATGATGGCTTCAGTCTACATATGCATGCTGTCCATAACCACTGAGGAACTTCTTCATTGAATTACTTGCTTGTGAGGTCGTTCACCTTTATGCAAGGTGTGTTTAAACTATCCTTCTGATTCTGTGCATGTCAATCCACTTGGAACAAAGGCTTATCTGTGTATGTTAATGTATGTATGTATGTACAAACAAACATAGGTCATGCTTGCATGCATAGGTCATCAGCTGCAGGAAAGAAAAGGAGTTGTTATAAATATAGTGTTGTTACAAATATTCTGATAGTATAATTGTTATAAATATTCTGATAGTATAATCATATAAAAGAGTTAGTTATTATTACAAGTAGAAAATGGCAAAGTATAAGATATAGCAATGGTAGGAGTACTGTGTTTAAAATATGCAACCATAGAAACCTCATCAAGAAGTCATTGGATATCTTATGTTTTGTTCAAGAAACTATGGAGACCATCATATACAACAGCTACGCTGCTCGGAAACCCCCTACCTTCCCATCTTGATTTGAATGTCAAGGATGCCTTTCAGTAGAGCTCAGCAGAGATGATCAAAGATTGTCTTAGAGTACGAATATTAATGAAGTTATATAACTAGCAAAACCAATTATTGTAAAAGTTAAATTTAGGAGCGGATGTATTATGCATAGTACATAAAGCAACTTATGTAATGATGACTTTGCAAAAAAAGTATGTAAAATGGATGAATTTTGTTTACTAAGTGGGACACATTTGGAGCAGTAATCCTGTGTATTCCCAGTGCCCAAAAAAAGAAGGGTCTGCTTATTCACATCAAATTGGTGTTGGGTAAGTTTCTTTTGTCCTGTTTGGTGACACCCTTGTTTTCAAAACTCTGACCAGTGTTTAGATTTGTGCCTTCCTCTTGGAGCAGCCATGCTGCACGGATCATTTCATTAATCACTTCCTTTTTTACTTCCCTGCTGAGGATTAATGAGTCCTCCAAGTACATTCTGATAACATGTTCCGCTGCAGGGTTTGGATGCAGGCTTTGCTTCCAGGACGATTTACACACTTCAGCAGGACTAGCCAAAGGACCCCTACTACCTGCATTGCACTTTTGTACATGAAAGCTGCAGTTTCAAAAGGATATACAAGGATACAAAGGATATACAACAGTGGAAGCTGGTGTGCTGCTAATGAAACTTTTACATCTCAACCACCCAGGTTGTCTCTATCTTAGACACAGAAATAGGATAAGGAAATTTAATTCCAAGACATTTGATGGAGTCAAACCTGTACTTCACTTGGGAAAACCCCCTGTATTTTAGAAGATCATCCGGAAGTGGCCAAGTGCGACTGGGAAAATCCCAGCCACAGTAAAGTGTGCTCACATTATAAGCACTGCTGGAGCTGGGATTTTAAGAACACTTACACCTTTGGGAACAGTTATCCATTGAATTGGATTTTCAATTAGGACCTACCTCATTAGAGGAGCTCAGGTGACCTTTATGGGGTGCTTGGGTTTGTTTGGTTTTTTTTTCCCATTCTCACAAATCATCATGTACAAAATCCTGTTAATTTCAGTGGGATTGAACACAGCCTGGGTGAGCTGGTGCGAAGGATCTGTGCATATACACAACACTGGCTACGAACATCCAGGGCGCCACTAAGTTATCTCAGAGCGTTTACAAATACAGAAATACAGAAATACAGAAGCGGGTCGGCAGGACCCGCAACTCCAAAATCGAAAACGCCCCAACCTGCCCCCCTGGCGGTACCGCCGTAGCCGCTCTCCGGGCAGGCCGCGC